AAGACGCAGCTAGGTGAGTTGATTACACGTGTACATTAAGACGCAGCTAGGTGAGTTGATTACACGTGTTCATTAAGACGCAGCTAGGTGGGTTGATTACACGTGTACATTAAGACGCAGCGAGGGGAGTTGATTACACGTGTACATTAAGACGCAGCTAGGTGGGTTGATTACACGTGTACATTAAGACGCAGCGAGGTGAGTTGATTACACGTGTACATTAAGACGCAGCTAGGTGGGTTGATTACACGTNTCTCGTGCCACATCCGCCGAAGAAAGACTTCATCAAGATGCTGGAGAACGATCACAAAGTTCTACGATACGCCGCCAGGCTGGTGAGTCATTGTCGCTAGCTAGATAGATAAATAGTTAGCTAGCTAGATAGATAGATAGCCAGCTATCTAGTTTACTAGCTTGCTAGCCAGCTAGCCAGCTTGATAGATTGGTAGATAGCTAGCTAGCTAGCTAGATAGATAGATAGATAGAGAGATAGATAGATCGCTAGATAGCTAGCTAGCTAGATAGATAGCTAGGTAGATAGCTAGCTAGCTATATAGATAGCTAGTTAGGTAGATAGATAGATAGATAGATAGCTAACTAGATAACTAGATAGATATATAGATAGCTAACTAGAAAGCTAGATAGCTTGTTTGTCTATCTACTTTGATGATTCTGACAATGGGTCGCAGGTAAATGCATACACACATGTGCGGCACATATTTACATATACATGTGTGTGTGTATGTATAATATATATATGCATATATATATATATATATATTCATTATTATCTTTAATAATGTTTATATACATACGTGGGCTTGCTGCTGCTGCAGGATTCGGTGAGAGAGGAAGACAAGAACAGGAGGTTTGTGATTTCCTACCGGCTAGCAGACGACATGATGACCATCTACGAACCGCCCGTCCGAAACTCTGGCATTATCGGAGGTAGGTGGCGCCCCTGCCGTGTCCGAGAGATAGGTGGCGCTCTCGTAGCATCATCAGACTCAGTGATGTTTAACTGTTAAATGTTTTAATGTTGAGTGAGGTTGCTGTTGCACTGGTGACATTTAATGTGAAAGTTCCTGTAAAAAGGAAACTTCCTTTTACGGGAAAAGGATAAATTCTTAAACAGGAAACCTTCTGCAACATACATAACATTTAACAGGAAACATCCTGTATTACCATTTAACAGGAAACTTCTTGTAACATTGATTACATTTAACAGGAAAGTTCCTGGAGCGTACGCGGGTGTGTAAGCCTGGCTGCTAACAGGAAACTTCCTGTAGCATCGATAACATTTAACAGGAAACTTCCTGTAACATCGATAACATTTAACAGGAAAGTTCCTGGAGC